TCTCGTTCAGTCCCATGCATAATATTTTTTAGGTCAAAATGGTTTTTTGGTTTTTTGCTTTTACCGGATATGTAATAAACGGCGTAATGTTCAATTTAGGATTTTAAATAAACGTTGAAGTGTAGTTAATAACAGTCAAGACACATACAGTCACAAATTATTACTTCAGCCGCAAAGAGGTTCGTTGATATTCTTGGGCAGGGATGGGCAGTACTTCAATTACAAGTATCTGAAATACGTATTTCAAATACTTTGTGTATTTTTCATTTGTATTTAATTGCAAATTGGGTAACGTATTTGACGTGTGTATTTAAATACTAAAACGTGGGTATTTCAAATACAATTGTAATTAAATACAATTTTGTGGACGAAAATACATCCCTCAAATTTATTGTCACGACTCATTTTGCTCATCCTAAGACGTGTCCAAAGCTGCTCTTTCTTCATCTCAACGCCAACGGCAACAACAAACCAAAAAACTCTTCATCTCTTCATACAGCAGTCCTGCGGCAGTTCGCGTCTCGCTCACCGCGGGCGCCCACGGCACTTTACTCTATTACGTTAAATAAATGTTATTGCCAAAGTTACAATTATTGTTTTTATGCATGTGGTTGTAAGATATAGTCTCCATCCTTTATTCGGCCATGGTTTTTTTTTTTTTTTTTTCTTTTTCTCCTCCGGCTTTATTTTAAAGGCCCTGTCCAGAGCAGGAAGAAAACTACGTTCCTGCACCGAATGCAGTGTCTCTCAATCAAGCACAAGCGTTTAGTGACTTTGTAATTACGGTGCTAGTCCAGGGCAAGAATAGTGACGAAATCGACGCTCACAGGCAGACTGGCTAAATAAGTGCCTGTGACAACTTGTGATGCTTTCCAGCCTGATTTCTATCCATATTTTTGCCTGGAACATTCTAAATGCGCGGGTCGTCAGATTTTCGTAACTGATGCGAGTTGCAACAATAAAAAAAATCTCTAGCTAGTGCTGCGCGTCTTGGTCGTCTCGGTTCTTTGTTGGTCTATACCAAAATGTAATCGACAAAAAAAAGCTGCTTGAAGCTCTGTACTTTTTTCACCTACTACGTCCACGCTGATTACATTTTTTGTGATTATATTTCTATTACGTTACTAGAGCCTCACACACTAACCCCCGAGTGTGCGATACAAAATTAAAATGAGATACTCAGAAACCCGTTGCAGGTGCACTGAAGTCGCTGACGCAAATTCTCAGGAATGTATTTGAAAAAGTATTTGGAGGAGACCAAATACATTCAATGGTTGTATTTGTATCTTGTACTTAAATGCTTTTTTTTTTGGAAATGTAATTAGATTTGTGATTAAATACATTTTAACGAAGTATTTTGTATTTGTATTTTGATACATATTTGCATGTATTTTCCCATCCCTGTTCTTCGGCGATAGCGAACTGCCTTGATTGCTCACAACAATCTCTGCTGCGCCAAACAGATAATCGCACGGAGTTGAAATGACTGAGACACGTACAACCTTCTCCATTTGTTTAGAGTTACAAATCTAGCTTCTAGAGTTTTACATTAGGTCAAAATATCTCCTAAATTTTACCTTCATACAGGTGTACTCGTCCACGTCTGCGTGGTAAAAGCGTTGATTATTTTAGTCAAAATGTTTTTGATTAACCGGTTAAAAAAATTAATTGCGATTAAAGCATTAATCGATTAATCGATGGGTTAATCGACAGTGTTCATCGTAGTCATGCGCTGGGGTTTGGAAAGTGAAGAGCTTCGGCTGAGCTTCAGATATTGTTAGAGTTGGGCTATTATCATCTTTAATTGAACACGAGCCGTTACCCGAATGTTTGGCGATGCTGACCGTCATGAACCCGATCACTCGACTCGGTGTGACGAAAATCGCTTACGTCACAGTGTCACGTGACTCTCGGTGCGGAATCGTGATGTCATGTTACATCGCGCTGTCAACAAGGTTAATTCATCTAATGGCTTCCTCAAATTGAATGGACTTGATGCAGTGAATCGACCACGCGACACATGGAAGCGCCCCGAAAACTTACAATTTATCATACATTGCAATTCTGTAAGGGACGATTTTTTGTAATCAATTGATCAATAGATAAAAATACAGCTGACAATTTTTTATTAAAAAATAATCATTTTGTGATACTTGTTAGTATCACAAGTATACATTCTTGTTAGTATCAAAAGAAAGAAAGAAATCCTTGAACCGTTTTGAACCCGTTACCGTTATATGTTTTTCCGGTTCGGTTCCGGTTTTCGGTTCAGTTTGGTTCCGGTTCGACACCCTGGTGAAGATCCTGGTCGAGCAAAATGTTAATATGTTTGTGTCGCATGCCAATTGAGTGATAAGTAATTACCAGTACATCAATAACCAGTTCATGTTCTTTTTTTTTAACAAGTTTTATTGGAAAGTGCGGGAGGGCAGGTGGGATCGCGGAGCCCAAGCAGACGACCGGAAGCTTTGTTTGGGGACGTCGGGAGGAACCCGCTGGGCAGCGGCCTGAGTCGCACGGCAACCCCCGGCGCGGAGTTGAAGCGTCGTCGGCGAGCCTGCGAGGGCGCCGCTTCCGAGGAGGATAGGCGAGCGGCCATTGGACGCCGCGCGACAAGCCGCGAGGGCCTCCTATAAAGGGACGACGTCCGCGTCGTGGCGGCGCTTTCGCTTGTTTGTCGCCATGCGAACCACGGAATACAAAGCGTCCTTCTTCGACGACGTAAGTAGGCTCCGCGATCCATTTTGGAAGAGAAAGGGTTGTTGCGTTGCGGGGAGGGGGAGGGAAACTGCCGCGTGGTGGTGTTGTGGCGGTCCCCGATCGTCGATTCTGGTTGCGTTCCGTGCCGGGGTTCGCATCTCGGGGGGCCTGCGCTGCGATTGAGCGTTCATTGGTCGTCGGTCGCCTGCCGCGTCCTCGACTGGCGTGTTTAGCGTCCGAATCCGCCATTTACAGTGGAAGTGGCCCCAAAGTGTCAACATATGACGTCACAGAAGCCGGAGTGTCATGCGCTGTCGGATGTCGCGATCCTGATGGTCGTTTTGGACGGGGGGGGGGGGGGGGGGGGGGGGGGGGGGGGGGTAAACACACTAGTCGTGAATGTGTTCCAGTCTCCAGACACCCTAGTTTGACGGAGCCGCCGACAGAAATGACGCGACGCGTTGCCTACCGGGACGTATCGCGCCACCGCGCGATCGGTCGCGGGAGTCGCAGGCTGTTGTCGCGCGATCGGCCTTGGAAGCGCACCTTGCGTCACGGCACACGTTGACGTGTCAGCGGGGATCATCGTCGCCGCGCACGTGCCATGACGCAATGCTGCAAGCTGCACTGCCAGGTCGTGGCCAGTCGCGAGGCATTCCAGCGCGTCGGCCCGTTAGGTTACGTGACGTCGTGTCCCGATCCGGGCGCGCGGCGTGGGGTCGATTGCCGTCATCCGCTTTTCGTCTGCTTCGGCCGGGAAGCGGAAGCCAGCGGAGCGACGCTCCTTCGGCCGGGGTGAAGCGCTCGCTTTACTTCTTGCTAGGATCTTGGAAGAGCCTTCCCTGGCTTTATGCTTTGTGAACACGGGGAGGCGCCGGCACTGTGATAACCTACGATAACCGCTTGCCGAAACCATCAGCTGATAAGGCGTTTCGAACTCGCCAAGTGCCGCGGGCCGAACATTAGATTATATTTGCGCTACACTGTTCGCACTGTGATTTTAAAATCAGAGCGAAGACGGTCAAAGGACGAACACACACACACACAGTCCAAAAAGTGCAAATCTACGCGTCCTTCGTCTTCCTTCGCGCTGTTTTCAATTTCAATTTCAACGACCGTTCGTACGGCGGCCTCATAACAAGTAGTAAATTCCATTTTACTCTTCTTTATCAAATTTTTTTTTTGTGTGTGTGTGTGTATGTAGGATGAAAGATCACGTAGCGCGAGCTTGAGTGCGAACCACGGCGCTCCAGTTGTTTTTTCGTCCTCAATCGCGAAGGCTGTTTTCAAGTTACTTCTGTTCTTCGCTTTTTTTTTTCTTTTCTTGGATTATTGAGGGGGCAGCCAACGACAGATAAGCGACCGAGGGACATGCTCTCCAGACGAAGAAGGTTATTGTGGTAATCTACGTCAGGGGCTGCGACTGACAACGGCCCCTGGTGTGACGAAAGCGCTTGGCTCGGCGGTTTGTCGCGGAGGACTTTCCCCGCGCGCTCCTTATCAGCCGTTTCGAGCGAAGGCTGACGCAAGAGCGCTATTTGGTCCTGACCCTCGCGATAAAGCCGGTCACTGCGGGGTGCCTGCCAGGTGCGCCAACGGGGTCAACCGGGTAGCAGCCCTCCGGCGCCGTGTCAACGCTCTCATCCAGCAGACATGCCTGGAGTAAGCAATCATGCCCTCCCTACCCGGCGCGAGAGTGTCGTGGTGCGGTTGCAGTGGCACTGAGCACAGAAAAGTAGACAGTCGGAAGGAAGCGAGCCCCCATGCCCCCTCAAAGGTGCGGGTCAGGTTCACGTCACCGGGGTGCCCAGAGGGAGCCTCGACGGCGGCGTCGTCTCGCTAGCAGACGGGAAGTCCCAAGTTCAAAGAACACCGCGATCGTCTGCTCGCGCGCGTGGGAGCGTCGTCTGCTCTCGGCGCCCCGAACGGTGTGCCAGCTGTGCCGAGCAGCGCACATCAGCTGGAGAGGAGGTGGTGTTGAGCGGCCGTGCAGGCCGACAGGCCGTGGCATATCACGTGGCACGAGTCCAGTGCTACACCTAGAAGAAAAGGCCCGCTGATGACGTCATCATTTGTGTATGCCCGACGCGCCCCAAGCGGCAAACACGGCCAAGTTCGACGAGACTCCGCCGCAAACTGTCATTTGCGTCCATCTTGGCGTTGCCGCGTGCTAGCCATGCGTGCTAGCGTTGTGCGCGTGTGAAACACTGCGAGACGCGCTGGCGGCGATGCTGACGCACGCTAGGTGACGCTGCGTATTCATACGAAAACATCATCATCATTACAAATAATGATGACGTTTGGGCATAGTTTTGAGGGGGATGACGGGGGGAAATGCACAGGCTGCTCAGGCCTTATCGCCTAATCTTCTAGGTGGCATTTGGTGGAGGTACGCGGTGTCTGGAGGCGTTTGTCCGTGCGCGTGCATTCGGTTTGAGCGCGGGAGTCCAGTTGCTATGCTGGACGGACGACGGTGACAGCTTCGTGGCCAAGGATCAGGAAGCTTCGCTTATGGACACCGCTACCGTCGGTCGGGTTGGCGGTGAACCGTCGACCGAGGTATGTGCGGCACCTCAGCCGGCTGGGCGTGCTGGAACGCGCTCTCTTGCTTACCTGCGGATCCTCGCCTTCCACACGAAATGTAGTTTAGAAATCTCGCGTTTTTCCGGGACGTTATTTCGATCTCGTTTGAGCTAGGTCTCCCGAACGTGTAGGAATGTGCGTCTTGCGAATGACATGCCTCGGTCCGTTTTTCCTGGAATATCGAGCTGCACCGAACGACCGTACTAAGCCGGCCGTGGTGCTATCGACGGCTGCCGCTTCTCAACACCGTTGGGGAGGGACATTTATATTGATTACGTTCGTAGAGAATGTACCTACCCAGAGTCGGAACAGTCTGGTTTGACGTACGCATAAGAATTCGTTTTCTCTGTTCCGTCGTGCATGATTTGCATGCATCATGCCGGTCCACGCCCTGCATTCGCGAATTTCTGCGGTCACTCGCATTGCACGTAATGTCTTTCTGTAGGTCTACAAGGCGTCGCAAACCGTAGCAGATGGTGGGGCGTCGGTGGCCGTCAACGATGGAACGCAGTCAGGAGCCCCTAAGAAGTACTACCGGGCACCACACCACAGGTATTCCACCCGACCGGGGTTCACCGAAATCTCGTTCCCGAAGTGCGCTCATCTGGTGATGTTCCACGCAGGATCTTTGTCAACCGAAGCCTGCACCTGGACAAGATTAAGTTCTTCGGCTTTGACATGGACTACACCCTGGCTCGTAAGTGCCGTGCTCTGCAGGTTGCCGACCTCTCTCCAGCGGGTTCCTATCGCTTCGTTGAAACAAATTTCGTGGACAACTTTGCATAGACACAAGTTTTGTCGACTCGCATCTTGTCGACACCGTGATATTTCGTGGACACTTGCTTCTACGACGTTTCGTCGGCAACCTTTTATTTTTTTGCAAAGTGGATGGGATTGGATTACTGGATATATTTTGTTCGCTAGAAGCATACCAGAACTAAAGTGGACTCGTCCGAACGACTCCAGCAGGGCAGAAACGAATTTGCAAGCCCTAATCCTAAACTTCCGAACAGACCGCGCTACATACGGACATCTCCCACTTAGCTCAGAGAAAATTTAACATCCTCTCGCGGCCGGAGCTTTCACCGGGCCTCATCGAAACCACTGAGGGTTTAGCAAGCTAGGCTAACGGTCAGATGCTGGCATTTGAGGCGATGCACGCGGAAAGGCTCTTTTGACAAAACTCCGCAAGGTGTGTTGATGAAATGAACGGGTGGGAAGCTTTCGGTGAAAGGAACCGCGAATGAAACCTTGTCGATGAAATGATTGCCGTTGCTCTCTGACGGGATTCTACCTCGCCTTTGTCTTCAGAGTACAAGTCTCCCGATTACGAGGCGTTCCAGTTCCACCTGCTCGTGGATCACCTGCTCTCTATCGGGTATCCCACTGAGCTGAGGCAGTTCCAGTACGATTCGACCTTTCCCATCCGGTGAGTTGTCCCTTCCCCTGTGCTCCCCTCCAGTCGTCGGGGCGGCCTTTGCGTAAGGCCACGGCGGGCTGCTTGGGACGGAAACGTTCAACAAGGACGTCCAGTTCTAGCTCGACGAGCGTTTTGTGTGTTTGGTTTGACTAGGAGCCTTTTCCTTGACTTCTTTTGTTGGAGTTGGCTGAGCCCAGTTGCAACTTGGTGGCGGTTACCCGATGGATAATCTGCTCCCAAAGGGCTGTCTTGTTGGTATGTTTTTCTTCCAAACAAATTTTTCCGCCTCATATTTTTTTTTTTTTTTACAAACTGGAGCTTTAATAATTTTTTTTTTTTTTTTTTAAATTTTCTAGCTGCTAAATTTAATTTCTGTGAAGATAGGGAAAGCATGTAGCACTTGTCAGCTTGCTATCTACGAATTTTGAGTGTCCAAAAAACTGTAGCGTCCCAGGTACGGTGACGTCTCGTCAGCTCGTGGGAGTTTTAACAAAGTCTGTTTGTCACCTTGCTTCTTCTGAAAAAGGGCGAGGAAGAAAAATTTGAAGGCTATCTTCCCACAAATCCATGTGCTATGCAGCGAGTGGTGTTCATTTGACAGTCTCGTTAAGGTCCAAACCCCTGCTAGAAATGGTAACAGCATAGAAATAAAAAAAGGGGAGTGTGGGCTCTGCCAGTGATGTTCCCAGCCGAAATAAGCTTCTTGCTATCGTGTCATGTTTTTAGAGCATGTTCCCAATAATGTTTTGTCTTCTCTAAGTAGTATTTTTACTCCAGCAAACAGATTGAGATGGAATGATTCATCATAACTTGTTGGTCTTGGTCTCCACGGGGCTACGGGCTTTTAAAATCCTCGTGGCTCCATAGACCCTTTCCGAAATTCAGTGCCATCTGGTGGTTTGTAAAGCAGTTTAGGTATTGCCATATCAATAGCGGAGATGAACTTGTATCGGCACCGTCACTTTCGCAAGCCAACAGCACGGGAGGAATTGTTCAGTGAGTTCTTTCTCGATCACTTTCAGTTCGACGGTGACCAAGAACCTGCATTCAGAACAAAGCTCCTACTCACTCAAATGCCTCGAGAAAATTCTATACACCAAAGTGCTTTAAAGCAGATTGTGTGCCGCACACAGATTGACTGAATATGAGTTATAAATAAACACTTATGTAGCTCTTGTGTTCCATTCCTACGTCGCGTCGTACTGACCCCCCGAATGTACAAGCCTCGCAAGATCCGCTTATGAGCATCTTCAACGTCTCCTTTTTCCACTGATGATGATAGTGATCAAAGTGGCCAGACTGAATTTCGGAAAGGGTCTATTGCTGTGTCGACCTTCCTCCTTGTCCTCTCAACCACACTTGGGTTCCCTTTTTCCATGCGGAATGTGAAAAATGACCCCCCAGACAGGAGACTACCTGCCAACTGCACATTTCCCCTCTGTTTCTCTTTCTTTTCTTTCAATACTTGCTTACTTAGTGTTGGTCACGATTTTTGGGAGTCTAGTATGTTTGAAGCTACGGTACAGGAAAGATTTTTTCCTGTGATGTTGAATCGAGGTTTCTGTTCTCTTAGAATGAGCTTGACATCTTTTTCCTTCAAGTATGTTCCGTATTTTTCTAACACCTTGCTCGACATTTCCAGTGTCCTCGCAGAACATTGATTGCCATCCGGTTAATCTGGATGAAAACTTGTCATAATCATTTTTATTTAATATTAATTTATTTATATACCTCGAAGATCCATTTCAGAGTATATTAGCACAAGCTATAGAAATGAAAAAGGTCAGCATTTCTCAACTTTGCAGGGTGTTCAGTTAACTTCAAACGTCTATTTGTAAGTTCCAATGGGATATGCGAGCACTCTTGAAAAAGGTTGTGTGTGTAACGCCCAGAAAGTAAGTTTTGCTTTGAAGTAGGAAAGTTGTGCCATATTGTTTGGGAAATGCTTTATCCTCAATGGAGACTTGATCCCCTTCGAGTTAAGGCCCTTCTAATGTCGTGGCACAAGTTGTCCAGTATATAGGAAGTATTCACTGGCGGCCATAGTTGTGTGCGCGACTGCTGAGCGCGTGCTGATGGCGAGCTTCCGCAGTTCTTTTGTAACGTGCATTCCGCACCCTCAAGATTGCCGGTCTTAGCAGCCTATCAATGTGGGCTCGTTCTGAACATCCGCTCTAGGCAGCACCCTCAAATATGGCGCCCAGTGAATACTCCTTATACCTTCTTATACAAGTCTGCCACCTGAGTCTCGTGCCAACACCTTGTGCATCTGTTAAGTTTGGGATTCTGTGTAGTTTTGTTGCTTAGTTTCCCCTCTGAAAAAGAGAAGTGTCTGCCAAGGAGGAATTAGCTTTAACGCCGCTTGGGTTTGCCTGCCTTCGTGAGGATTTTGTTGTGTCTATTGCAATCTGCTGTTGTTCATGGAGGCCAGCTAATGAAAAATTATCTCTAAATTTGTAACACAACGAGACACTTGAGCACAGCTTGCCATGCAGTGAGGGTGCTCAAGCACGGTTGCACTTGGGAGGTGTCTGCCCCCAGGCACGTTGGAACGCGAAGTGGAGGGCCCAAGCGAGTGGACAGACGCAGCAATGCCGGTTCCCCCTTTGAACCTTGGGGCTTCTGTTGTCTAGACTGGGAACGGAGATCTCTCGTGCATCTGCAAATTGAGGAGCATTTAGCAGATTCGGCTTTTGGGCGGGAACCAAAAAGGAGCCACACAGGTCACTCAAATTCTACCTTGTCGCAACGAGCTCGGCGGGACCAAACAACTTTTAATATCTCGTTTTGCAACCTCCGACGTATCGCCATCGTCGGCCCGCTCCATCTCGACTGCCCCTCCGTTTGAAAGTTGACTGCATCCATTGGGTGGACAGTTTGTGCTACTCAAGTGCTTCGGAACTACAGGGTGTCACAAAAGAAAATTTACAGAGTCTTTTTTACCGCAAAAATAAACTAGGCATCGCCGAACGCTCATTCTCCGTCCAAAGGTAGCGCTAGAGGTCGCAACCAGATGCCAAAGTTTCAGCCCGATCCGATAACTTAATAAAAAGTTATAAGTGATTTTCTGAAAATGTCAATGGGAAAATGGCGGCCGACGGAGTTTTCAAACACATGGGGCTCTATGGCACCAGAAACCGAAAACAGGCAAAAATGGGCTTCCTTTTCCCATTGAAATTTTCAGAAAATCTGTTACAACTTTTGATTAAGTTATCGGATCGGGCTGAAACTTTGGCATCTGGTTGTGACCTCTAGCTCTACCTTTGGGCGGAGAATGAGCGTTCGGCGATGCCTAGTTTAGTTTTGCGGTAAAAAAGACCCTGTAAATTTTCTTTTGTGACACCCTGTATTTTGTCAATTAATGATCTGTAAACCGCAGAAACATGTGTTGTACGATCGGAAGTTGTACAGCATCAGTTTTTTTTTTTTAAATTTCCTTCCCTTCCTCCCCCATATTGTTTGTGACCAAGGACTGCCTTCTGCTCCGCAGCACGTCATGGAGCGCATTTCCACACCATTGCTTAGACTTGTTCACCTATAAATTTTGCGAATTTTTCAATGTCTGGTTGGCTTGACTGAAAAAAAGATGGAGGGTGCAGGTGAGCTGGTGAATAGTGGGCAACATAATAAACCGGAGACATGGACACAAAAAGCACGTAAACAACACTGTGTTGTGTACATCCTTTTTGTGTCCATGTCTCCGGTTTATTACATTGCCTTGGCTTCATATTTGTCGCATAAAAAAATTCTTGTCGCACGCTGGGCTCGGAGTTAGTGAGCCATTCTGTGAACTTAAAAATTGCAAAGCACAAATCGGCCGACTCGGTGGCTCCGAGGCGAGTGCGCCGGCCTACGGATCCCCATGTGGCGGGTTCGAATCCCGGCCAAGGTGCCCGCAATCTTGACGGAGGCTTATTGCGGAGAAAGCGCCGTGTAACCGAGCTTTCGGTTGCACGTCAAAAGATCCCCAGGTGGTCGAAATTAATCCTCAGTCCTCCGCTGGGGCGTGCCAGATGCCCGTCGTTGGTTTGGCGCATAAAACTCCCAAATTTGACATCTTCGCAAAGCACAAATCGAAAAAGTTAGTTGCAGTCTCGCTAATTCGTGCGAGTGCAACTAATGGAATGGGGAGCGGAACTGTGCATGCACAAATCAGGGGTGAATACTTTTGTGGGACTTGTGCGCAAACAGCACTTACTTTCTGGATGATCCTCATATGTATTGCGAGTCACTAAGATGATATATTTTTATGTTTAGTGTCTGTCAAACTTCTATTCGCCTCAATTTATTTTTATTGTATGTCATTATTTTGTAACTTCATTTTGACCGACCTACTGTGAAAAAGTTTCTCTGCCTATTTCATGTCTTAGCTGTGCTTTTAAAGAATGAAAAATAGAATCACTGTTTGATTCTCCTATCAGTTCTTCTGTGTTTAATGTTTTCAAGCATGTAGATTTTTTATAGCTTTTTGATTTGTTTTGCAAGCGTATGAGAAATGTAAATGTTTCATATTTTGCTTTATAACTATGTTGTAGCTAAGGTGAGGGTGGGGGTAACTCTGACTTTCGTTTTATATTGCCATTAGTCTCCATCCCCTTACAAAACAATAAAACTGAAATGACAAAAACAACATATCATTTTGGTTAGGTCCTCTATCATGCTGAAAGCATAGAACCTTACCCAACTTTATAAGGCAGCCTTTTGTATTGTACTATGCATTAATTGTAGGGATCTTTGGTCCTGATAAGCGAGAAACTTTGTCCCAACGTTAGCAGAGTGCCCGTCATAAATCGCAGTCTAGGTGCAGTCTACAGAATTTCGTAGAACACTTTGTTATCAGGCGTGACTGACAAGGGGCTCTCTAGATAGTGCTAGGCTAATCTGCAATCGGGAGTCCATATAGGAGGGTTTCCTGTGGGTGGGCCCGCCAGAGCTGTGTGTGTTATCTCAATCCTGTTGGCATATCTCTGCATCTACCAGTCCACCTCACAGAGCTGCTTCCAGTTTTACTAGATAACCAAGTTGGCAAACGTCAGAGTCTGCCATGGTAGAGAATGGCAGTAGCGCCATTAGTAGTACTGTTTTCACGCTGTGCCTCAATCTGGTTCATGTGTCAATATCATGCAGAAATAAAATTCAGGACTGCTGCATCTGCAGCAACAGCATGTTTTTGATGTAGTTCAGGCAAATTGGCCTGTCGGCCAGTAGGCTTTACCTGTTGGGGATGTTAGTACAATCAAAATGCTTTGATAGGTGTAAGGACGTGTTGCGGGTCGGCTGTTTTACTTTTCTCACAATGGCTGGAAGTAGACTGTCTGGAGTGATTTTAAAGGGCGAGAAAACATTTTAGCTCGTTTCAGTTATGTCGTCCCGAAAGGGTTTGGGTGGAAAAGAGTGCATCGGTTTGCACTGGGCGTCGGAGGATATCTAGGAGGTCCCTTGGTTTTGAGTTTCATCGTTCACTGGGGTCTTTTCGTAAATTGAAAGAGATTTGCCCTATAAGCGTTTCTAGGAAGGAATATGCGCGGAGCACATACGTTTGTCCTACGAAAGGCTTTCGTTGGTGTCTGAGGAAATGCACTGCGGTCAGGATAAGAATATGGCAGGGACGAGTTTCGGTCGTCCCGCCTCCAACACGATCTTGCTACCTTCGGTAACACTTGTGCGCCTCGCGAGCTCTGAGCTTGCAGCCGACGCACGGCAGACACCAGTGAGCATGTGCGGGAGGCCAGGCCAGGCATCCAAGAGATGCGCCGTGCATGTCTTGTTTTTTCGGCGACTGTAGATGTCTTTAAATTCTTGGGCAAACATTTTGTTATTGGACGAAGCTTGTCCTCGACGCATGGGGTTGAGCGTTTCTGTCGTCCTTTTTGCGCAGGGGCCTCTGGTTCGACACGCAATATGGCAATCTGCTCAAGGTGGACCCCTATGGAAACATCCTGGTTTGCTGTCATGGCTTTCAGTTCCTCAAGACGTAAGCATCCCGCTCGTTTGTTTGAACGATTCCTTAGGCGCGGCCCCGGTAGTTTCGTGCAGTCTCGTTGGAGGCACGGAAGCGGGCTTTAGAAGGGGATGGGCTTGCGCAAGAGCGCACCTCCGCTGTTGTGCCCGTTATTGCGCTGGACACGACTTGGAAGTACAAGTAGCATGCAATCTTTTTAATGCGAAAGCATTAACTGGTCCCGTGGAGCGAGCCGACGTCACCAGTTTGAAGCGCGAAAATGGCACCTAGTTTTTCTGATCTCAAAGGTCCCATTGACTGGTGCGCGGCGACGAGGCTCCCATTGGCCACTGCGCGTCAGTTTCAACGACCATCACCAGATGGCACTGCATGTCCGTGCCGCCAGCGCTCCGATAAAACTAACCGCCACAACCCCATGCCACAACGGGCCCCTCTCCGGTTAAAACAAACACTTTGGTGCGCGCTCGGAGGTTTCTGCCCGTCTTGCCGTCGCCTCCATCATCCGCATCGTTGTTGGTGCCTCTGCTCGCCTCGCCGCCGATGAACATGGCACCGCCTCTAGCATCCACATCGTCGCCGGTGTTTCTGCCACAACTCGAAAACATTACTCGCGCCACAAAACTCCGCGGATCACTCCGCGGCGTTCCGTTGGACATTCATGCTTTCGCATTCACAACTCATAAGAAGTGCCTTCAGACTTTTTTTAGGGGCGAAGCTCCTTAGGGTCTAGCCTTGTCCATCCGGCGTCCGTACTCACATCGATTGCCATCCCATCTGTCTTCTTAAGAAAAGAAAAAATGTTTGCGCAGTCGACAGGATTCTAACCTGTGCGGGGAGACCCCAATGGATTTCTAGTCCATTGCCTTAACCACTCGTCCACGACTGCGGGAGAGTAGGGGGCCCTGAGATGGTGGTAGTAACTCAAGAGCTGGGGATGTCATGGATGAAACGTTGCATGTAGCCGCTCGACGTCTATACAGGAAAGGGTGCTGCGGTCAAATGCGTATATAATCGCGTTAAACTTTGCATGCATTGGCTCAACGTTTATAGACGAGAGGGCGCTGCGGTCAAATGCTCAACTGCGTATATAACCACGATCCATAGCACACATTCTCTTTCTGACATGGACCGTTGACTTAAGCGGTGAAGATGCGTTCCCACGGCTTCTAGCGGATCCAAGCTGACCCGCTAGAAGAGCCTCTGGCTCTGGAGCCTCTGGCTCTGCATTTCACCGACCATAAAGCAGTAATAATGAAGTCGAAACGCAACCCGGAACTCAGCACTACCTATGAGCAATAAAAAAAAAAAAATTAGCACCATCAGCACTACCTATGAAGAATAAAATCAGTATCATCAGCACCACCAGAGCTTCGCCCCAATCAACATCATTCACCACGTGAAGGTGCGGTCATTTTTTTCGTCCTCGATGAAAGCCTAATTTTATAAATGCGCCGCATATTCGGATGTTCCCTGCTCCACTTAGCCCCCTCCCCCCGGTTGCAAAGCCACTGAATGATATAAATGGGCTCTCGCCGTGCGAGTACATCTGCATGTTCCTTCGTGTTGTCGCCGATTCGTATCGTCAAGAGCTACGTGTAAGGTCACAAGTGAAGTGCAAAGATGGTGGGGCTTGTCCATGTATGTGCCCTGATCGATGCTCCTTCGCTGGTTACATGGTGAAACGCAGCGATGCGTCAGCATTGCATCGCTGCGCTGAAGTCTGGACGTGTCGTATTGCTGCTGGGCGAGGAAGTGGCATACCTTTTGATGTCCGTAGGCGTTGGTGTCGCACATGTTTGTGGACAGTGACTCGATCACCCGGGGAGTTAAAAACGACCCGTATCTGTGACATAGTGTACAAGTGTAAATCAGGGGGCGATCAGGGTGGGTCACGTGCATTTTTGGAGAATTTCCAGTTTGTTTGTTTGCGTCAGAGTTGGCTCGACATACGGTAGGCGGCACAGACTCAAGCGTAGACGAGCACCTTGATGGTCTTTCGGAGCTTGGGCTCCTCGATGCCTCGACCGGTTCTCGTAAAACACACCCTAGCACTGGGTGTACGCAGACTATGAAGTGCTAGTAGTGGCTCACTCACCGCGAAGGGGGAGTTGATCCGTCTGGAGAGATCCATGAGCTCTCCGGGCTGATAGGAGGGGAATGAGTCTAGGTCAAGTTTATGGGGCTAGAATAATGTTGTATTTCGTCGGGGTTAAGGTTTCCTGGCATCTTGTTGGTGTGATTTGTAATTTCATGAGTATCTGCCTGTGTTTGGACTGTCCAAGTAGCATATTCAGTATTTGCTGCACTCGTGACGTGTGGAGCTGGTTGTTCATCTGATCGCACATTGGTAGCCAGTTCTTCGTGGTGAGTGACTGGGCATAGCCCTGCGCTACCTCTGTAATGGCTCGAATGGCTTTCTTGAGTTATTAATCGGCCTTGGTCTTCCGCCCAAACGCGGAGTAGGTGGCAGTCAATGTATAGATGCTTCAGATTCCGGGTTATCGTCCTCATGCATTGTGTCATGCACTGCCTTTGTGTGGTCTGGAAATCTGGCGGGTGCCGAGGGGAATGATTATGATTCCAGTCGAACTCTGTTCCATTTTGCGATCTTGGTGCGGAGCCCCTTGCTGTGGAGTGCTGCGGGTCCTTGAGAACGTCAGAGTGGTCTGTAATATGCAATAGTCGCTGCCCAACGGCTCCAAGAAGTTCTCCCATGACATATTCTGATCACTGAGTAACCATGCACAAAGCACAACAAAGTTAACACAAAAAAGCAATCATAGATTTTTTTTTTTTTTTTTGCAACTGAAACAATTGTTATTGAAACTACTGGTTCGGTCGTTAGTGCTAGTCTTAGACACAGACTTAGTCTTTGAATAATGGTGTTCACGAATGCACCGTCCAAGCGAGATGCAAAATGGTGCCGACGATGTGTTTGCCGTAAAGGTGTCGTGCAGTGTACATCATCGATTCAGTGCAAACTTGTTGCAGAAATTCTTGATGGGAGTCAAGGGGGTGCTCAGGGGGTGTGTTGCTCACAAGTTGGCTGTTTGTGTCTTCCGTGTGTGGCCAGGGGGGAGATCTACAAGCTGTACCCAAACAAGTTCATCAAACTGGACGAGTCGCGGGTGTTTGTGCTCAACACGTTGTTCAACCTGCCAGGTGGGTGGGCGGCTCAGCTACTTGGTGCCTCCTCTTGGCCCCCATGCCTTTATACAGAACATTCTCGAGCGCCGTTTGGGCATAAAAAATATTGTCCAAGTAAACCAATGAACCGACTGCAATCAATCTTTTTCACAAAGGTGTCGTTAGGTGTTGCGTTTATCATACTAAAATTAATAAGTGTGGGCTTCAGGGAACAAAAAGTCTTAAAGTGCCTGTTTCTTCCCATGGACGGGGAGGAAAACCACAAAAACCATCTGGTTGATGTTGCCATTCACAGATGGCACCATGCGTGCTTGGATCTGCTGGATTTGCTCTTGGGCATTCGCCTCAAAGAATCTTCAACACTTTTGCTTTATCTTGTGCCATCATTTTCGGTTTTCGTCAGTTTCCTCTATGCACAAAAATTATTTTTTTGCCTCATTTTTCGAAACCTACACCAATATTTTAGTATGACAAACGCACTACCTAAGGACACTTGCGAAAATTTTCACTGCCCTCCGTTAAATAATTTTATTTTATACATTTTCTTTTTGCGCCGAGTGGCATTTGAGAACACTTTGTTCAAACAGCAACCTGGTCTGTAACCCTCTACAGAAACCTACCTGCTGGCTTGTTTGGTGGACTTTTTCTGCACTTCACAGCAGTACATCCCGTAAGCCCATTTTCACCTTTGTTTTTATCTTCGCTGCTCTTGTCTCAGACGCTTTTCTTCCTCGAGCCCTCTACTTTGAGTGGTTTTCTTCCTCTCTGTTCGAGCACCCCAAGAGCACTCTGGGATGGGCACTGTCGCTGACGGTGGTCCTCGTTTTTGCAGCACCAAGACTGGAGTGAAGATTGGCAGCCTGTTCATGTCCTACAAGTCCATCTTCCAAGATGTTCGGGGTGCAGTTGATGCCATTCACACCTATGTGAGTTGGGAAGGAACTGTTAATGACACTTATATTGGGTCAACCCTAATATCCAGAGAAGGAAAAAAAAAATTGTGCAAATATGAATTTCACAGAGTCTAGTCACTGTATAGTTTGTTTCATTTTAGGTCAGAGCACAGTTGATGTCTCGAAAACCTACAACCACAGACACACATACTAAAAGTGCAAGTCACGGGACTTTCGCTGCACTAGATTGGTTTAGCCGATGAAAGAGATGACTAATGCCACAATGTTGCGCTTTGATGTTGCGAATCGACCGGCCAGAGTCATTGATGTTGGGCATCAACTGCTCTGGCCGGTCCATGCGCTGTCCGGTCGATCGCCGACATCATCTAAATTTCCAGGCGTCGTCATTGATGTCAGGAACGACGAGTCCCAAGAAAACTTTGCAAAAAAGTAAGATTGCCGATTGCGGCTACTGAGATAAAATGGAACCAGGGTCTTGTACTCCTGAAAAGATGGCTCGATTATCGAGTCTGCCACATGCCTTCGTTCCGTGGCTGCAGAGTGCCGTGGCACTTGCTCTGCTCGCGTCAAGCTTCGCCGCCTCTCACCGGCGTGCGTGCGTGCGTCGAGCTTCTCCGCTTTGCACCGGAGTGCTAGGAGCAGCGGCTGACCTGGGGGAGCGCATGGCTTAGCGAGATAGGCATGCAGATTACGATCAGGATTATTACGGGTCGAACTTCTTTGTCCTATTAGTAAATTCAGCTCTAACTAAAGAAAAAAGGCAGAGAGAGGAAAACGAGGGTCTACGTAAATTTGAATAGATACGGTAGTCACGGTAGTTCCTGTGCAGCTGTCGATTGAAAGAGCAGCAAACGTTGACGTGACTCTGGTTCCTACGCCGCTAAATAGCAGTGTCACCTTCAACGCACGAGTGTAGGCTTTTATAATATTTTTCGGTGGTTGTCTTTACAGTTTTATAGGTGTATTAAACTTAAGGGGCATAATTTTATTGGTAGGCGTGTTAGCAGATATGCTGGTTCTTGCTGGCATTTTACAGAAATTATATTTACAGGCTAAACAAACAACCAAGTGGAAGATGGGAAGGGGTGAAAGGATTTATACTAATGAAGTGTTGCTCTATGATTCCAATTTCAACCATTTTTTAATACCCTTTTAAATGAAACCCACTCTGACCAGAGCCTTATTTAAGGCTGTTACTTTTATGTCCCATCTATACTTATCACAAACGGCAATAAGTAATATGCATGAGTATAAAAGAGGGACCCTTGATTACTAAATGAACTCATTGAGATGCAACGACTTTTTCATTCTCAAGTGATGTGCTAACAGATCTTGGCATCAGCTCCAAAAGTGTCAGTGGCTGCCCCAAATCAATATTTTGCCTGGTATAAAAACTGCTACAAAAGGTCAAATGCCGCTTCCTTCCTTGACAGGGGCGCTGTCAGTGATAGGGCTCATAGCTATACATCTATGAGCAACCCTTTTTGGTGTGCTGCAGCAAAGATGGACAGAGGTGCACAAAGGATTCAATTGCTGCTACTTCTGCATAGCATTTCATGGAGGCGCACTTGAATTTCCAGCACGTGTGCTGCGGCAGTCATATGTGTTGGGCTGCAACCCTAATGCTAGTGGCAAAGATGAAAGTTATTATCGGGGCACTAAACCACTTTCTGTGATAGTCTATTTATTGTCGTAGCTCAATCTATTGGTACTGATTACCCTAAAAAGCCAAACATTACATTCATGCGTGGCCGATTTCCTTATTAAAACCTGTCTCGGAAGATGAACACCAGATGGTGCCACCATACGAGGAAGGGGAAAGTTGTAGAATAATCATCATCATTGGGCAGAGCGCTGTCCTTCCTTGTGCAATAGCGCCCTCTGGTGTGCGATAGTTCTGGGGTTCCCCTTTAAGCATTGTAGCAATGGAACTCTTGCGCCTTCGTATCAAATGGAAGTGCTATTTGTTATCACGGGAGCCCACTCGTATATCCGTTGTCGAGAGTGGAAACGTTTGTGTCATTGAGTTATTCCATCAACATTTTTCGCTCTTTTCTTGCTTCTACATTCAAGGTGCCCATTTCAAGTGCCGTAAGTCTGAAACAACATCTAGCCAAATGTTGTGGACATGTTTAGTTGGGAGCAATCACAAGTGCTGGGGCAATTGCACGAGTCTCCAAAACACAAGCAGCAAGGAAACTCTGAGTTCCCTGCACTGAACTTTCGGGGATTACATCCAAATGCCGATTTCAGCAACAACTCTCTTGGTCTCATATGCCAATAGAAAACATGTTCAGATAGCAAGTACTATTGGAATGCAGCTCTGCATACAGTCAGATCGTACAGTTTTTCGGTCTGCATGGTTGAGTGCCTAATGTTAGCAGGCTCAATATTTTTATTTGTTTATTTATTAAAAAAATAAATGCAGGCCTTTTTCAGGCCCTGGCTGGTAATACGAGAAAACATAAATTGGAATGTAGGGTGTTTCCACCCTATATTTATATTTGTATAAAACCATATATGGGAAGCTATGTTCTTGGAAGAATTCAGTTGAATATGAATGCCGGAACTAATTTTCTTTGTGGGATATAAAATTGAAAAGCTCGAGGCATGAGCATTGCCAAAATTTCACTATAGTACTTTGCACAGCTGTCAGTTTTACATTGAAGCATGCACACATTTTTGAGGCACATTTACAAATTTTCCAACAAATTACTTTATAAAAAAATGTCGCAAAGTATATCAAAATGCGCATCTTCAAACAGTTTACAAGTACATAAAAAATATGCTTAGCCGTTATTGTAGTGGGGTTGTCGCTCACCCGGGAATTTGCAGTACATGTATAACACAATAAAAGAACTGTATGAGAAATAATATATGGGTTTAATCTTTGACGTTTCTGCCAGAGTCCTGCCTTTGTCAGGAGGAGTGTTACAAATGAAAACAAGTAGTATTTATACAAATAATAAGGGTAGAGGGAAGAAAGTGACAGCTTTGCAAAGTACCATAGTGCGACCTTGGCAATGTCCATGCCTAGAGCTTGGAAACTTTATATCTCCAGAAGAAAATTTGCTACGGCGTTCACATATAGCTGAATGCTCCTCTCAAAAACAAGGCTTTCACATACATTTTTTACATAAATATTAAAAAGACGTGGCCCAGACCGTCATTGCATGAGCTCTCATGGAAACGGCCTTTAGCACTGTGCACTTTGTTTCTGGTGTTCCTTTTTTTTTTTTTAAAAGTAGTGAGAATTGCTTCTAAAATTGATGTGTTGGTGTCTACCATAACGTTCCAGTCATCTTGCCCGTGATTGTCACAAAAGTATGTGGAGCCTTAATTACTATTGCATGGCGGCAATAAAGTTGCTTTTTTCGTTGCCACGTGTTGAAAAACAACGAAGTCCGATGCTTGTAAGTCAGGATTTCAGAATTCGTTTTTGTGACGTGTTGGATATTCTTTTACTAAACTCGTCGCATCAAGAAAAAGAGAAGTTTTGTGCAATATTCATGTGCTACGCGAAGTAATTCTTGCAAGATTGTGACTCTACGGGACTTTTTTGGTGCCAAAGTCGAGCGGTGGCAGCGTACCAGTGGGCCTGCCCCGGGCTGCACTCTTTATCCTTCTTTTAGCGAGCACTGTGCACAGATCTTGTCGACATTGAGTTCTTGACCTTTAGCACGTCTGCCATGCTCCAAAGCAGAAGTGACAGTTTAAAAGGACTTGCCCATTGCTGTCAGGTTGCAAAGAACAGATAAAAACAACTTAGCAGAATGAAACTTCTGTAAGGTGTATTCGTGCGACAGTTTTTCCCGAAAGGAGGATTAAACGTCAAGAGTTCAGCGTGCATCAGCATCTGTTCATGTGCGGTAAAAGAGCATCTGAAAAAACTAAAAAAGGTTTAAATAAACAAAAAAAGAATGCAGCTCGCATTGTCCTATTCATACGACACGAGCGGTTTTCCTTTAGCTTTTTTTGTTCTAGTAGTATGTTTCGCCCCAAAAATTTTTATCCACCGATGCAATTTTTATTTGCCGATGAAATGCGCCCGAGCAATATTAGATTTCGCTCACCAGACACGCTGCTCAAACTCGAGAGCTACAGCCCTTTGGGGAAGGATTGCGGTCAGCAGCATTGAAGTGTAAGGTGCCTTTTCTTTCTTCTCTGCCTTTCTTGCGATGAGCCTGCGAAGGTCATGAACAGGCACGTGAATAGAAAGACTCTGCCGACGCAACTACATGCGACTTCGTCGTGCTAGTGGTTGCTTGAATTGTCTTCAATGCCTCCCCATTCTCGTGGCTCTTCCTCCTCTCAGCTTTGACATACTCAGTTTTCTCAGAAGATAAAGTTCTCCGGAGATAAAGATGTCTTGTTGGGAAACCCGAGCGCCCGACTTCATGGCGGCTATCGTTACATGATTCAGAGGCGACCGAAGACGACGTGAAACGCTCGAGGAGGACCGCTTTCCAATGCTTAACGGCGTATTCGCACGACAGATATTTATCTCCAGAGAAAACCGAATATGTCATAGGCTTGTACTAGGAAAAGCCGCAAGGAAGAAAAGGAGGTGATGCAGACAATGTGGGCAGGCATTTGCGTGACGGAGTTAAGAGCGATTCTAGGCAGAGTCTTCCTTTTTGGTCGACAAGCTTTTGGGGTTCACCGAACAAAAGGCGGAGAAAAGGGGAATGAAAAAAAAGGGCACCTTGCAGCCAAATTCTGCCGACCGTAACCCTTTCTTAAAAGAAGGGGGAGCGGTCACTCCGAAGGGCCGAGAGAGATATTCTCTAGGCCGGTTGCAGGTTCTCTGTGGGTCACCGAGGGATCGAGGGATTGGCAAACGTCCGTGACGCGGTGCACGTGACTTCAAAACTTGACGACGTTTAATCCGCTCTTCGGGGAGAAACTCCACTGTCCGAATATGCTGTTACTCCCATATATCTGTGGCAAAGCATGGCGAAAAACGTGGGCTGCAGAGGACATGGGGGAGAAGAGAAGTGTAGAGACCTGGAGCAGAGCACGCACCACCTCGCGGATGCGGTCAGCATACTTAAAAAAAATGGTGGGGGGGGGGGGGGGGTTAGGTGAGGTGTTGGGGGATCCGGCCAATGTGCAAATTATTTTTGAAATCTCATTTGCACTTAGGGGTGCGGCTCATACGTGCAATCATTAATTGCGAGCCTTTCTTTTAGGGCCAACTGAAAACTGAGACAGTAAACAACCTTGACAAGTACCTGGAAAAGGACGAGAGGCTACCTCTGCTCCTGGATAGGCAAGTCTCTGCATGGCTGTGGGCTACATAGATTTTGACCCTCGCTCCACGCTTCTCTGCAGGATGCGTGCTCACGACAAGAAGTTGTTCCTGCTCACCAACAGTGACTATGCATATACGGCTGTGAGTTAATTTTCTCACCCTTGCACCATGATCGCTCCGACTAGGTGAGTCTAGAGCGCGTGTTTGTTGCCTTTACAGAAAATCATGCAGTACCTGTTCGACTTCCCAAACACCAAACACGTGAGTTCTGCTGTTTCGTTTTGGCACCTTTCGACGCATTCAGTCTTGCACCTGAGGATGCTGGGGAATTTTCTGAGGGGTTTCTGCGGACCCAGGGGCAGGAGAACTCTGTTTCTGTTGGTCTTGGGGGGGGGGGGGGTTAAAATTCCTGCGTGTTACTGGAGACAAATATTTGCCAAAGGGTGCACGAGTAAAATCTGCTACTTCGGTGGTTCCGACGCAAGGTGCTGCTGGCCTGTAGATTCACGGTTGGCCGATTTGTTCTTGGCGGAGGTTCCCACAGAGTGACATAGGCTTGTTGTGGAGCATATGTAACAGATTTCGGTAGCATTTGGGAAGAATTTGGCTTTTGGCTCTTTGCTGGGGCATGCCATATGTCCATTTTTTGGTTTGGCACATGAACCCTTAAACTTTGCTTTTTGTAAGGTGAAATCAGTCAATCAATCATGTGTTTTACTGTGCCCCCGTACAGATGGTAGTCCTTAGATGGGGCAAGAAAAAATAAGTAGTAGCGAGAAAACTTAAATGGCACACTTTTCTTGAAATTTTTAAAATGAGCGAAGTGCACATTGGAGTTGTTGAGTGTATCTGTACGGAAGCCGCATGCTTGTCAGTGGAAATCTAGATTGTAAGTCAAAAGGGTTAAAACATGTTGTGGATCTATTTTGTTGTCTGGGGACGTGGGAAGAGATTCTACTAAGCAGCAGGGGAGAGTCAACAACTGCATTGAGCACCTTGTAGAAAAACACCATATTGCAAGCAAGCAGTCTATTTGAAAAAGCCCAAAGATTAGGGGTGTCTAAGAGACTCGCATAATCATAACAAAACTCTCCGTCTAATATGGTGATTATACACAACTCCTTGTAAAGCATCGTTGCACAGACTTTAGCTTAAAGGCTTGACTAAGGCCGAGGAAATTCCAAACAGAAAATTCTATTGTTAACGCTAGCGAGCGAAATAGGTGCAGTGTGGATGAGTAACTGTGGATGTTACAAGTTGTGCATTAAATGACGTCTAGCAAATGTCGGTGAATATCTAAAAAAAAGAAATTTTTACCAATTTTTTTGTAATTTCGTCAAGAAAGGATTAATGGCTTGAGACCTGAAACTGAAATTTTGACATGAATAAGCCACAACACCAAGGTCACATACAACAGACCATATAATGCCGGATAAATTAATGGATAAAATACTCACTTGCAAATTGAGACAAAAAAAAATCTCTTTTTTTGACAAGAACGGCATTTTGGAAGAATAGAAGGCTCTCCAGGTGGTGGAATCTTTGATTGCGTGTTTGATAGCAACGAAGATTACGACTCTGAAAGCTAAAAATTTATCACGAACAGCAATAGCAGTGGTAGTGACATTACGAGGAGGGCAAGCCGTCCAAGTTGGAGGAGGATTCCTCGGCGCCACCTGCGCCACCAAATTTAATTGCTCCGAAGCAGTTAATTTTTTTGTCTGTGCCAAATGATACAAAAAAATGTGAACAAAGCTGTCTATGAGGTGGATATACCCTGTGTGGAAGCCAACCGGCAGGAATGCTAGCCAGTTACAATGCAAGTAATTCGACCTCCAGTTAAAATGCTAGCAATTCAACCTCGCTAGACTGTCGAGCGAACCATCTATCCCAAACACATACGAGACATAAATACGATTGTGGGCACACCGCCGATGCATCGGGAGGCTCGTGAATGGTCTCGTTTTTCTCGCAAAATGTCTCGACAACGATGTGAAACAAAGTTAGTCGAGGCAGTGCCACATCGGCAAAGCCCGAGGCGCAAGAAGCGAGCGCTGTTGAAGTGTGAGAAATCCAATTGGTTTTGACGTGTCTCCATGAATCAAAAAAATTCCGAACCTAGGAGAAAAAAAAACATTTTTTTTACAGGCATGTCCTAAAAATAATGTTTGTCAAAAAAAAAATTTTTTTTTTTTGCTCGATATTTATGTTGCACTACAAATTTTTCAATTTGCGGGCGAAACCGGAACTCTACTTCCAAGAGATGATGATAGTAGCATTAGTACCCAACTATACTCTGCTCACCCTTAAAGGCCGACGTACAACCTCGGTTTTCTGCAGGGATGATAATCCTCTTAGCGCTCCCGCTCTTCTAAGCTGCGAGGGGAGCCAAGGTGGTGTAATGTAGAAATTGGAGAGGATATGGGAAAGGAGAAGCCAGGCAAAAGTGGAAAGCGCTAAGTGTACGTCGGGCCTTTAGGCTAAGAGTTCAGCCAAAGCTTCAAGCAGGAGCTAGCCCATGCTCCTGGCTTTTGTACTTGCATTTCTAGCAGAAGCGCTCGATCTGCGGAAGAAAGCTTCAAAGCAGCGACCTCAAGCTCTTGTGCGTGTGGCATTGTGACTGTCATCATCTTCCCAGGGGGGTACAGTTTCGGTTTTGCTTGCAAATCGAAAATGTTTTTATTGTAGCATAAATATTGGGCCAAAATATTTTCTTTTTTTTTCGGTGAACATTTATTTTGAAATTTGCCTGTCCTAATTAGGTTTTAGGTGTAGTATTTCTTTTTTTAAGTAGTTTGATATCAGTGAAGCTCTGAGTGTTTTGCATTTGCCTACTACTCAGGATCAGTTCAGGACAAAAAGTGAACTCCACTAACGTATGATTAGGGTTTCGTGTTTTCGGACAAACCCGCAAAACACCCGCTGGTAAAATTCTGGTCAATTCGGACTTTTCCGATAAACTCCGAATTTTTTTGTGCCAATACCACTCCCTCCCCCCCGCCCCCATACACATATGGTGCAAAAAAAGGAAAATACATATATTTTTTTACACTTTGTTCAGTGTAGGGTCAGTGGTCTTGAGAAAATGCCACCATAATTATCTTCCAAATCTCGGACCATTGACAAAAAGGGGTCTTACCGCTTACCTCGTCAAGGGCAGCAGGTTATTGCACATTCAAGTCACGACAAAAGCCACTCTTTTGGTTTCCAGTTTGGGCCATGGGATTTGTGCTTTAGAGAAAGGAGAAGTTATGTCTTTGTAACAGTGAAAGAGACCATAGAGATTGTATAAAATAGGGAAGAGGCAGGGGCTTTGGAACCAGGGGGGCAGGGGAAGCGTTTGCCCCCCTCATGTTTTTTTCGTAGGGGTCATGCTCCCCCAACGCTGAAGGCTGACCCACAACCCTCCCTTAATGTAGTCAGAGCAACATGCTACAGTGCCTTCCAAGCTTGAAGCGGAATAAGAAAGGACTGCGACGTTTCGTCGGGACGAGAATTGGTAGTAAAGCTGATACCCCTGTTAAGTGCTGGAGTAAACGTTTCTTCTGAGCCAGCCTTGAGGCGCGCGTATTGGTCGCATCTTAATCACTGGCAGCAGGACGGGGACAGCTTAGGAAAGGCACCTTTCTACCATTCCTTGTCATCGGAAAGGACGGCGGGGAAGAGGCTCCCCAAACGTAAAACCTCTTGCTGCGGGAAATTGGTCTCTGGCAGTGCGCTTCGACAAACAGCAGTCCGGAGCATATGTCCTTGGAGGGACTGCACACTCTCTTTGATGAGTTTTGCTTGAGATTGGCTCTTTCAAGCTCGGCCATGCCAATACCGTGCCAATTAAGCGCACTGATCCCATAATGGCCGGAGAGGGTTCAGAGCTGGCCTAGCATGGGAGGCGCCCCTCGAAGTTTCTGCACGACGCCTAGACGCGAAAAGCATTTCTGCCATCCGTCAATCATTTTCATACTTTTGTTCGGTGTGACAGAAGAGGCTATGGAAACGCTCTTGCGTGCTAGAGATTTTGAAGACCTCTTTTTGTTACTCAGAAAAGTTTTCTGCTAAACAAAGGTTGCTTCCTCCATTTTCGTTTTTCCGCGCGTACGATCTTCAAAGTTGGGGGGGATCTCCACTGCAAGGATGTGAGCCTTGACCCCCGCCCCCCCCGATCAGAATTGACTTCCGGAGCCCCTGGGAAGAGGGGCAGTTGAAACTTGCCACTCCACCTCGCGCGGCTGCAGGCTAGGTTGATGGACTAGGATGGGACGACTGCGAGCTTCCTAGCGTCTACCTCCGGGAGTTTGTTGATTTTAAGGCATCGACGTTTACCGAAGCAACACTCTGCGAAACTTTTGTCATGAGACAAATTAGTATTGCCAATGGCTAAGAGCCATCGGCGATGCCAAATTCAACTGATGAAATTTTAATTGATACAAGCACATTTTGGTTTTTACTTGGCATATGTTTACATACAGTTATTATTTATTTATTTATTTTAATAGGAAACACTGCGAAATTAAACTTAGAATTTCAGAGAATTGGGAATCAAACAAATATAAGCTGTGAATCTTCGGCAAAAAATAAACTCCGAAAAACACCCTCTGAATTTCACAAAAAAATAAACTCCGAAAACACGGAACCCTACTTGGGACAGGTTATAGTCCTTTGACGGCACATGTGGCTGCAGACGTCCGATAGAAATGTGGCACGGGTCAAGGGGAAAGACATGGCAGGGGAGATAACTAACCATGCCGAAGTTGCGTTATTCTTCAAGTGCTGTAAAAGCAACCAGACTTAAAAGGTGTCGCATTGTGGGTTTAAACAAACTGTTCCTTTCCATTGTCAAACACGTACTAGATATTTCTTTGTATCATTTTTGTGTGGGTTTTTCGGTGAATCCGGAAAGTTTGCAGTAACCTTGTAATAAAAGTGCACCTTTTCCACCGTTGAACTGGATACCAGACTTTATTTTTTGGAAATTCTGCAAAATGCAGTGGCAGGATTAAGTGGTTTCTGCATACCTCTTGTATTAAAGTGGCAATGGGGGCTATAGTTGGTTTGTGACTGAATAAAATAAAATATAGAATGCAAAACACAAGGACCAAAGTAGAAGTAAACAGGACAAATGCTAACTGACAACTGGCGTTTTTTTTTTGTTTTCTTTCTTTATCTCTTCTATGCATATTTTTTGTAGCTGTAGTATGGTATTCACTTTTCAGTGCAAACTGTTTGATAGCACTTGGATCTAGGAAAGGAAGGAAGATGTTTTTTTTTTCCAGCGGAGCTGGGAGTCGTACTTCGACTACATCGTGGTGGATGCCCTGAAGCCTCTGTTTTTCGGCGAGGGCACCATCCTACGACAAGTGGACACGGTTTGTTGGGCTGCCGGGATGCTCTGTTGGAGAGGTTTTCACGGGCTTTTCTCTCGCTGCAGACCACTGGGGCACTGCGCATCGGAAGCCACATTGGACCCTTGCAGTTGGGCCAAGTCTACTCGGGAGGTAGCCAGACGATCTTACACTTATCTGCCGCTTCTCTGCCGGAGTATTCACCATTGAAACTCTATTTACAAAGTGTAGTTAGCTTAAGATTATTATCAGTATACCTCGAATTTCTGTAGCACCATTACAAGCTTACTGCAACTTTTCGTTACAGTATAGTTGCAATTTATATGTAATAGTACTATTCAGAGAGCAATTTCGTCTGCTTCTTGCACAGGGGTTGCGGTGACGTCAGAATGACGTCGAGTTCTGATTGGCTTTGATTGGAAAGATAGGGGGTTGACCAATGCCAGATGGCTTGAGGTCTACCCACTATTTTTTTCAATTGGCCAATAAGAGTTCGGCATTCTGACATCATTGTAACCCCTCTGCAGGAAACAAACTTGCTCTACGTGTACTGGCATTCAGTGTACTGATGTAGTGAAGCTTTATTTTAATTGGAATTTATTTTGCTTGAGGTTTTAGAAGTATTTGTTGACCCATTTGTTACTGGCCATTGTTCCAAGACGCATGTGTTGGTACATGAATAGGCTCATGCTAAAAAAATGGTTTTCATCAGTAGTAGCAAATTATGGTTAATAATATACCGCACACTTAAAATGTATAGTCGGAAGTTACTGCCGCGTGAAATCGCAATGTTGCGCTGGTTTTGGCGTGTTTGCAGTTGCTACCAGGGTCACAAAGACTATTTCCAGTTCTTGAGTTGCTGGGTAGGATTGAATAGGATTTGTATTAGAGAAGTCCAGAAATTATTGCTTTGAAACTTAAGAATTTCGGACCTACATTTAGAGCGGACCTCCAGGCTGATGCCATGCATCCCATATTCACTTTGAGTCTGCCTATTCTAAAACTGCCCAAAAGTATGAAAATGCAAGGTAAACAACCGGCCCAAGCAAGATGCTTTGATGTCTGCATGCATGTTTGTCTGCAAAAACTGCACTGCATCTGCAGCACTTGGCTCATTCTCGTTACTGCTAGATGAGGTGTTTTAAGAATTCCTCTAGCCGATAATTCAGTATTTAGCTTGGGCCTAACAAAATGCTTGCATTGCAGAATATTTATGCCCAAATTCCAAAATGTTGTGCTTCTGGCCCTGCCAGCCTAGCTCTGCACATAAGGCAACATCTAGTTCTTGGTATTACTGCTGATATGTGCACTGCAATGCAGTTTTGAAACACTTGGCAACAATTCTTTTTTGACCTTATGGAGCCAGACTGTTAGTGTCACTTGAGCTGGGCCGAGCTACGACGCTATTACAATCTGCTGAGGGTATTCAGACCAGTTGCCTGCCGTTAGCAACAAGTGACTGAGGTTTTGACGTCTTTTTCGCACAGGTAGCTGCGACGTATTCACAGAATTTGTTGGGGCCAAGGGCAAGGATGTACTCTATATCGGAGACCACATCTACGGGGACATTCTCAAGTCCAAAAAGACTCGTGGCTGGCGCACATTCCTCATGATTCCCGAGCTGGCACGGGAACTGCACGTCAGCATCTCCCAATGGACTCTCTTCGAAAAGCTTCAGGAGCTGGACATCTGCCTGGGCGACATCTACAAGTTGGTTACCTTGCTTCATGAGCTGCTCTGCTGTGCAAATGTTTTCTAGAGCCGGTGGTCTTGCTTTTTCTCAGGAACCTTGACAGCAGCTCAACTGACGTTCCGGACATCAGCAAGCTTCGGCAGTCCATCCGGGTGGGTTAACCTCTGCTTTAGGGGTCCGATTTTTAGCTGGAGAGGAGGTTTAATCAACTCTGTAGTGCTTTCAGTAGGTCATAATTAACACATTCATAGCATTTTAAGGCCTGGCTGTTTTTGTTCTATGTGGTGGTTTAATCTCTTGTTCTCATGTTTTGTATCTCGAAGGTATGCCACCAAAGCATGCTGCATTTGTAATGGAGCCTAAGACCTCAAATTTATTATGCTTTTAACGTTTTTTTTTTTTCGGCTTTCCTGCTACAGGAATCTTCACACGAGCTCGACATGTGCTATGGGATCCTGGGCAGCATGTTCCGCAGTGGTAAGTTTCCTTCCGCAGACTCTTGCCTTGCTCGAGCCAACCTATTGTGTCGCCACCACTCACAGGTTCTCGGCAGACCTTCTTTGCTGACCAGATCTGTCGCTACGCCGACATCTACGGTTACACATTTGTGAACCTCATGTACTACCCGTTCAGCTACATGTTCCGGGCGCCACCGATGCTGGTGAGGACCTCTCTTTGAGAGAGGCTTTTTGAAGCAATTTGGATAGTGCGCAAGCACATTGACGCTCGCAAAAGCGTCCTTACGTAAGGAGACGGCTCTCTTCGCTCAGTTTGTTATTCTGGAGAGTGGATCCGGCACCAGCTGATAATTTCTTGCGATGGAGACTGAAGAGCACCTGATGCCGTACGTGCATGATAGGAATAGGTAGCACATAAGGTGTTCTGGCATTTAAGTGGTGCTGGCTGTCCAAGCTTAGGAGGTATGGAGGCAGGAAGCTTCTGGTGGTGACATGACTCCATCAGAGGTAAAGCCAGAAGTGTGAAAGTAGATGACCCCACTAGTGACCCATACCAAGAGATGCTACTCTACAAGGAGGAAAGTTGATTTGGCACTAACAGATCTCCTTTTTGTCCAATAGCGTCTCTTGGTTTTGGTCATTGTTGGGGGCGTGTCCCTCAACACTTCTGGCTTCACCTCTGCGGGTGTCATGTCACCTCCAGAAGCTTCCTATCTTCGCGTTAGGAGGTGTGTAGTTTCAGCTGGCTTTCCAAGCTTAAGAGGTTTGCAGTTTCGGCTCGGATCCAGGTTGCATGATAGAACCGGCAGGGTATGCCGCGAGCGTGGGAGTTCAGATTTTGCGAGGTTTGCAGCTTCAGACTGCACGCAGATGCCACACGAGTCGACTGTGGATCACGAGCAGGACCCGACGCACCAGATGAACGGCGAGAGCCCGGCCGACGGGGAAGGCAAGTGCAACGCGGAGCATGTGCGCAGATTCTCCAAGAGCGAGCAGGTAGGTCGGGGCCCGTGTCCCCGTCCCACCCCCGTGGATGTAACCCCGGCGTCCTCCCGTGTCGCTGAGTCCACCCAGCTTTGGCCAGCAGCTTTGCACCTGTTGCAGTAAAGCACCGCTTTGACTGCCTTTCGAGGGCCGCCCTTGACGTGGTCCCACGTGCTTTCAGGTTCCACTGCGCATGCCCGAGGCTCCCAGTTCCATCACACACCACCATGACACTGATGACGATGACGAGGAGGCGGAAAAGTCGGCCGAGCCACGTCCGTAGGCAACGGCTGCGTCCCCCAAGACCCCCGCGGGTATATGCACGCCGTGTCTCTGGCGGTAAACGAGTGGCCTTAGCTGGGCTACCATGGTCTTCCCCTGCTGGGAGGGGGCGGCCCCCTGCGGTTGCAGCCCTCTGCGGTTGCTGCGTTGAAGGCTGCCCCTTGCATGCGTGAGGGAGACCTCCGGCCCGGCACGTGTGCCGTTGGTTGGCGTGTCTGTGGTGTGAAGTTTTTGGGCAGGTGCCCCTGGCCCCACAAGCACGGCCAGAAGAGCAGCTTGTGGGGCACAGTACGCGAGCCTTTTTTTCTTGCGCTTGTTTTGGCTTCTTTTACATGCCAAAGCACGCACTCTTTCTTAACTCTCTTTTATTCCTCCTCCGAGAATGTAACTCTGTGCTGTTGTTCTGCTTGTACTGGCCCTCTTTTAGGTAATAAATGCTATTTTCAAGAATTCTGAAGGTGGTTCACCTGCTGATATTGGCCACGATCATTTGGCTGCAAAAAAGCATTTTTTTTGTTTTTTGATGTGTGCCTGCTTTGTCAGCAGCCTTGTGTTCAAACGATGGATGATGGATATTTAATTAATTGTTGACTTTTGGAGCTGGCAAAAGTGATGCACTTGCTAATAGATTCATTTTAAGACCCAAACAATTGTACCATTCCCGACAACCATGAATATCCTATGTAAGTTGTCACGGCTAGAGCTCAAGAAGGTTCTTTGGATATTTGCACGTGGACCTCCAGAATAGGTCGTAAAAGTGCTCCATATGGAGCCTTTTTGACGTCCAGAAGTATTTCTTTAGGATATCCATGCTCCAATGATTCTAGAAAAATTAGAGGAATATCTATTGGTGGATCCTCAGGGAGCGCGTTAGCATGACCCCTGGGAAACGCTGACGCTGACCCGTTCACTTCTGTTTTGGCTTTCTCTTTTGCTTCCTCTATTTTTGCTGCCTGTTTTTGGCTTCGTTACGGTGTGAGTGTTTGCGTTTCTCAAAGGGGGACATGGTGCTTCCGAAAGGTCATGGTAGCTTATTCCCTGAGGATCCATTATTGGATCTTCCTTTATTTTTTTCCAGCGAAGCAGGCTCGTCGAACCTGCTTCGCCCCAGCCTCCGTAGCACGCACACCCGCGTCGGCTTGCCGCTAGCTTCGCATTTCGGCCAGGCGAGCTAGGCGCTGCTTTTGCTCCTCCTCTCATTCGCCTGCCTTGCACTAGTGTTGCCAACCTATTTTTCGGAAATGCCCTACGCCTGCGTCCAGAAAACCCTACATTACTCTACGAATATTTCTTATTACCCTAAATTTTACCTTACGAGGCAAATCTTTGTTCAAATAATACTGTTGCATGGATTATGATGATACAGGGTAATATCAATACAGTACAAAACGACTGCACGCAAGCATGTGCATGCATGAGTTATTCTAGAACACCCTGCTCGCATGCACGCTGTGTGGCATCAGCACAACAGTGATGTAGCGAGTGCACAGACATCCCCAACGAACATGTTTAGCAGATTTGTCTTCAAATTAAAAACTCGGCTACGTGGGACCAGCACTTACGGTGACAGACAAGGCGGCTCATTACAAAAGGAAGCTAATCCGAACGGTATATATTAGCTTCTTTGGGTGCACAGCCTAGGGATTCGTCAAACTAAGGCACTATTTCGACAAACTAGGCTATTACACCATCTGTGTTCGCTAAAGCGTCATTTGATGAAACGTCATGGTTTCGGCTTTGTTCGCTCAAGTGAACGCTTCCAGTCTCAACTACTTCTGCAGTCGGTAGGCAGTCTTCAAACTGCCTACCAACTGCACAACGTGCCGGGAAGCTCCGCGTGAGCTTTGAAATTTGTCTTCGTACTCGCCGATCATCCGTGATCGACGCCCTATGGGCGTGGTAAGGAGAGTTAATTGCAACGCGCCATAACAAAAGAGTGCCCAGGACGAGTGGTAGTTCCAGCTATGGTTATTTCATGCGCACCTTACGCCAGTGCGTAGAAAAGCACGGTTGAACAAGTGGCTGCCGGTTTTGGTGAGCTCTGGGTGGTTCTGCCTGCGGTGCCACGTGTTTCGCAGGTGTAACAAGGATCGCCGGATGGACCAGAGTCGTCGGAAAAAAATTGCCGGGAACATTTCCACTTAGAAGATACTTCTGGCTCCAAACTCGATCCCTATGCGCTCCTCCTCCCACCTCTCCCACTTGCTCCAGCTTTCCAATACTCTCCTACTTGGTGTGTGGTGCTCTCTGTTAGCACGTCTTGCAACTTGGATACTTTCGTTTTGCATGATGTCGTGGTGTGGCAGCACACGGGTTGTAACATCCTTTTGAACAGAGGAAAGCTGCTTTTGTGAGAATTTTGAGTGACAGGTTAATCGTCTATAATCTTCTGGGAGGAGAATAGCGACGCCTGTCAAATCCGGGAGGCACAAAGGAGGATCCTGATAAGAGGGGAGCTCCTTCCCCTTTTCCCTGGAGGTCATCGGAAATGACATCATGTGCCAGCCACGTCTGAAAATACCCTACTTTTGGCGGGAAAATGGCCGGACGGCCCTACAATGTACCGAAAATGCCTTAAATACCTTTCAAGTAGGGTAATTACCCTACGGTTGGCAACACCGCCTCGGACGCAGGTGCTGCTTGTACTAGAGCACTGCAAGGGCCGGAATTTCTAGGCCCGGCCCGACCCGGCCCGGTAGAGACACGGCCCGGGCCCGGCCCGAGCCCGACAGAATTTTTAATTTCTAGGCCCGACCCGGCCCGGAAGAGACACGGCCCGGGTCCGGCCCGAGCCCGACAGAATTTCAATTTCTAGGCCCCGCCCGACCCGACCCGATGGCTGTAGACCGAAACAACCCATTCCCGTTTGAACCCGTCCCGTTTCCACCCGTTCCCGAAACGAGCTCCCCATTTGAACCCCGTCCTGTTTCGACCCATTCTTTAAACGCCCTTCCCACATGAACTCGTCCCGTTTCGACCAGTTCCCTAAACGCCCTTCCCGTTTGAATTTGTCCATTTTCGACCAATTCCCTAAACGCCCTTCTTATTTGAACCAGTTTCCGAAACACCTTTTGCGTTTGAACGCGTCCCGTTTCAACCTACTTTTATAGGGCCCTGCACATCGCAACCTCTTCGCAAAAAGTCTCCATCGTTCTAAGCCTGGTCTGCGCACCTTTTCTGTTTAAGAATATGTTCTCAAGTAGCTTTACATTTCAACGCGTTCTTAAAATATACAATCCTTTCAGGCAAGATTAAGTTTAATATATTCCTACTTAACCCCTTAAAAGGTTTTTATTTTTCAAGATGGTTCCCAAAACGTGCAAGCGCGGAACGGACTATGTACACTGCGCGACACTGATACCGCGAACAAGACGCTGGCTTTTTTTTCGAATTTTACATCGAAATGGTGTTAGTAGGCACCAAAGTATACCGCTTAGGTCTTTGGCCCAGATGAGAACTTCTAAAACCACTAATAGTTTTGAAAACAGCGTTTTGATTCTACGAGATAAACATAAAAACACGACGATCGCTTGTTCGCGCTAATATAGTGTCGCGCTCTGTGCAATAAGGGAGTCTTAGAATAACGTACTCAAGCACTTTGGGCAAGCTAAAATTAGCATCGCCATAGGTTTTACATCGCAACGCTATTTTTACGGTACCCAAAGCGCTTGCGTACGTTTTTCTAAATCTTCCTAGATATTTTTGAGAGCGATGAATCAGACAGGTTGACAAGCATATGACTGGGTCTTTATTTTGTTTACAATTTATAACACTGAACCCTCGCTCACACAGAAAAAGCTTGAAGGCTTTCTAGCTTCAAGATGTCTTTTAGTTATTATTTTTAACGCCGCTGTAGTGAATTTGCACTTCGCTTTTTTTTGTATTCAATGAACCTAAAAGATTAATGAACAAACTTCTTGCTATCAGCAGCAATTTATGATTTACGGCACAAGATTGCCCAGGCACGGCCCGGGCCGGCCCGGGCCGGCGCGGCCCGAGAACTTTTTTGTTCAAGCCCGAGCCCGGCCCGGGCCCGAGAAAATACGTGCTACCCGGCCCGAGCCCGGCCCGCGGGCCGGGCCGGGCCCGTGCAGTGCTCTAGCTTGTACGCTTAGCAGCGGCATCTGGTGCTTGCGCTGCTGTCGCTGTTCACCCGGTTCACCAGTTTCTTGCGCGCATTGCCTTCCGCCCAGATAGTGACGTCGCCTCCCTCTCACCACGCCGCAGGCGCATTGGCTTCCGCCCGGACGTTATTCTCTCTTCACTGCGCGCTTCCTTTTATCCGCAGATGGACGGCGTCAGCTTTTCTCCGTCGCGTGGTCACTAAATGCTAACGCATCAACATTAATAAAATGGTCTCATTATGCCTCACTTCTATGTGAAGAATGAGCTCGAAGTACAGGCTCGAACAAGAATTGCTCGGAGCAAGCAAAAACGAGATGTGTGAAGTGAACCATCCCGGGTGCCAGTTGTCAGGGAGATCTTTCCAAGGTTGCGAATCCTTGGAGGTGACTTCTGCAAGTGATTCCAGGCTCTCGGCGTAACTCACGTTTCATGGCGCCTCGCTGAGCTTTAAAAAACTTTACTGCATGGTGACCTCAAGTAAGCTTCTTCCAACATGAATATAAATGCGTCAGAAACCTGGTATCATCGACAATAACTTTTATTATACGGAATTTTAGTGGCGCCATCTATTAGCTTAACAAAACCGTCAGCTCTAACTGCTACCGGGAACAGCCTCCAGAAGCCGGAGGGGGAGGAGGACAGAGCCGGACGGGGATGGCCGAACCCGGATGAGACTTTTCTCCTTTCGCCATGTTGATCGCGCAGGCACGTGGCCACATGGTGGCGAGCGGGTGAGTTCTCACTGCTCACTAATGGCTCTGGAGAGAGCTTCACCGGTACCCCGCGCTTCCCCCATTCACGTCACAGCGCACGTGACTCGGAACATGGTGCAGGAGCATACCTCGGCAAACCTCACTCATGAGGGCCCTCACTCACCCTCACTCACCCTCATCCTCACAGGTGAGGGTGAGGGTGAGTGAGTTTCTGAACCAGGAAAATTCATGAGTGTGAGGGTGAGTGAGGGCCGTGAGGGCGGTGAGTGCGGTAAGGGGTATGAGGGCCATGAGTACGTGAGAGGCGTGAGGGCGGTGAGTGGCGTGAGGGCCATGAGCGCGTGAGTGGTGTGAGGGCGGTGAGTGCGTGAGGGGTGTGAGGGCCATGAGTGCGTGAGGGCAGTGAGTGGCATGAGAGGCGTGGGCGGTGAGTGCATGAGGTGTGTGAGGGCCATGAGTGCGTGAGAGCGGTGAGTGCGTGAGGCCCCCTTCAGATCGGGCATCTTTCTCAGCAATTTTGGTGTTAATGACGGGCATACCTCGGCAAACCTCACTCATGAGGGCCCTCACTCACCCTCATCCTCACAGGTGAGGTGAAGGTGAGTGAGTTTCTGAACCA